TGGAGGAGGTGCTGAAGGCCTACGAGCAGCCCATCAACGAGGAGCAGGCGTGGGCCGTGTGCTTCCAGAGCTGCCGCGGGCTGCGGGGCGCCCCGGGCGGCCGGCGCCGCGTCCGGGACACGGCGGACCTCCTGCTGCGTCGGGACGGCTCGGTGGGCGCGCGGCGGGAGCCGGGCGCTCCGGGTGAGTGCTTGCGCAGGCCGCGGGCGCGACAAGGGCTTCCCGGGACGCGGGGCTGCTGCCCGCCCGGCCTCCCTCTGCCGGACCCGGGGATGGGGGGGGTTCCTCTGTGCCCGGCCCCGGGGACCCCGCCCTCTCCGCCGGACTGGAACCTGGGTTCCCGGCCCGTTTCTGGAGCCCAGGGGACACCGTCCTCTCTGCGGGGCCTGAGTTCTCCCTTCCCGGCCCCCTCTGTTGGACCCCCACCTGGAGCCCTTCTCTCCCGCCCCAGGGCCAGCCTCGGGCCGCCGCCGGTTCTCGGAGGAGGAGGAGGGGCTTGTGTTGGCTGTGAGCCCCCCTCAGTGACCCGGGGTCACGCGCAGTCCGCTGCTCCCACCCAGGTCCTTCCCAGCCCCGGGTGTAAGGAATGCGGGGCGCTGGCCGCATCCGTAGGCCGAAAAGGAGCCGGACAGTGAACGCTCCGGGTCCGGTGTGGGGTGGGGGCTGTGCCTTCCGAAGGAGCGAGGCGACGCAAATCCGTGGACCGCCGGCTCGGCTTCGCCATTGACTGAAACCAGCCAAAGCCTTTGAATGATCTGTAGATCCATTCAGGGTGTGAGTGTGCGGTTTTATTTTCAGAATTTTTCTTAAACAGAGAAAAAGTCATCTTCCCCGCCGGGCGATGCAGAGTGTTGATGGGGCACTTGGTGATACTAGCCCTCAATTGTGTGTGTTTGCGGGGCGGGGGCGACGGGGCCCACAAAGCCAGGTTATGCCTTCTGGAAGAGGCCTGGACCCTCGGCAGCCAGATCCCTGGGTGTGCGGAGTGCCTCAGGGCGCTGCGGGCAGCCTGGGGCGGAGTCAGAGCCACACTGTCAGGGACTGTTTGGGGGTGGGGGATGGGGTGGTATAGAGGCGGGGAACCTCTGCTATATCTCTGCACAGGCCCCTTCCGGTCTGCACCCTGCGCCCAGCCCTCCACACTGAGCTACACCTATGAATGACTGTATTTGACCCCCAAAGTACTCAGACATTACACAGATGAAAGCACTAAGCAAATGGTATTCCTCCCGTTTTACAGCTTGGTAAACTAAAGTTCAGAGCGGCAAGGGACTCTCTAAAGGCCCACAGAAAGTGGGCTGCTTTGGACTCTGGCCCATGGCCCCACCTCACCCATGGGACCCTAGTGTGCTATTTGGAGGGAGCTGGCTGGTAAAGGGGCGCCCCTACTTCCTCAGAAGACCACCCCTCCCATCTCTGGAGACAAGCTGCAAACCCAGGATTGTTGGCTGCTGCTGGCACCGCAGGGTCCTCTGACGCACTGATTTTAAAGTTGGGGAAACTGAGGCACTGAGTGGCATAGCAGCTGTTAGAAGCAAGGGCTCCTCCAGCTTGCTGCACCAGCTGTTTCTCATGAGTCTTGGAGGGCTGGGCACCCTGAGAGGCAGCGGTCATCTGGTCCTGTGCTGCACCCTGGGATGTGCGGGCCCTTCTTCCTGGTTGTCTCCCACACAGCAGCAGGTCCTGCTGGTGGGAGCAACCATCCTGGCCGGGCTTGAAATGCAGGCTGGGGTTCAAAGCTCATGTGAGGGCTGCTCTCATTTATTTTCTGTTCGATACGATCTTTGGTTTCTGCTCATAAACACGCCTCAGAAAGGTGGCCGAGGTTTATGACTTGCTGCCTCTTTAAAGAATGTTTTAAAAAAAACACCCTGAACTTTTTCTTCTGCCCCTTTTCAGCATTTGTGAATCAGCTGAAACAGTAGACCAGCTGCTTCCCCCAAGGTAGCCAATCCAGTGCTTCTGAAGCACTGGAAGTCTCAGCCAGTCTGCCCACCTAACAAATCCCACTGATTTCTTGCAGTAGGTACAATCAAAACCATGACTTAGTGACCCTCCTAGTGCTTGCTGTAGGGAGCGGTTGGGAAAGTGGCACCACCTTTGCTCGTCATCATTTAACTCCCGCATTTTGGCTTTTTTTAATGAAAAAAAAATTGTTTTTATTTATTACACATAACCGCTTTAGTGGGAGATAATACAGATATAATACCATTTGATAGTTCAATCATATCAAATAGTGTTGTATAATTGCTACCCCAGTTTCAAAACATATTTTACTTTTTTGAGCTCCTTGATATCAGCTCCCATTCACACACCCCCACCTCCACCCACTTCTTCTACCATGCCACCCAGTAACTCTTATTCTAATTACTATCTCGATAAGTTCATCAATTCTGAGTTTATATACCGAAAAACAGAATAACATATAACAAAGATTCAAGAAGGCTACCCACAATGACAAAATACATCAGCGATAAACCCCAATATGAAAAAAAAAAACCACAAAAAACTCAGAAAATATTGAAAACCAGATCAGGCCTAAAGTGTATCAGAGAGAGAATCAAGTGACAAGGTTTTAACTATTGAAGTCAGGTTTATCATTTTGATCTCCTGTAGTCATCTCTCCAGTACTCTCTGTTTGGTAACCAGTTTATTCCCATTCCTCAGTTAGGGCTAGAGGGAAATCCCCTGAGGCTTATTTCCTGTGTAGATCTCATAAATGTATCTTGGGCTTCCACTGTCTTCCATAACCTCTGCACACCAGTATCTCACAATTTAGGCTCTAATGCTATTCCCTCCTTCCACGTCCGATTACATAATTTACAATCCTTGGGTCACGGGTGTTGGTGTGCTTCTTCCACGTGGACTTAGTTGACATCTCACTTAGATGGCTGCTTGTTTGGAAACAAGCCTTTGAGACCCCAGACGCTATTCTGATGGCTGGGTACCATCTAATTTCTGCACCACATTTTGCTATAGCACCCATGTTTTCTGTGCTTCCTTTATGAGGGCGAGTGTCAAGCAGGGCCATGTCGTAAGAACAAATTGTTCTTAGATTGGAGCTAGGACCTATGGTTTTTTTGTCTGCCTCTGACAAAATTGGAGCTAGGACCTATGGTTTTTTTGTCTGCCTCTGACTCCCCTTGGCTTTTAGTTCCTGAGTCTGGTTTTGTGTCCGGAGTACCTGCCCTTTACAAAGTCCCGGGAACTCTGGGCATTAAGGAAGTTTCTAAAAACACTTAAAAAAAAAATCAATGGCAGCAATCAGCTCTGCTTTAGAGGCTGACTAATACTTTACTGTACAGGGAACAGTACTTCTCCCCACTCCCCAAGCCCAGTAGGACTGTGGGCCAGAAGGAGACTCCCTCACCAACGCTGCTTGGAAGTCATTTTCCATGTTCATTTGTGGTGGGGAAAGAGAAAGCAGGTTATCCATCCTCTGAGCTCTTGTAGGAAGCCATCATTAAACTCTCAGGACAGGAAGGGATTCCTTTTCAAGATTCTGAAGCAGACTTCACTTGTGAAGTGTGTGCTAAGCATCTGGAGGCAAAGCCAATTACTTACACACAGGCTTCCCAGGGGGAGGTGACCCTTGACCCTCTCTGCGCCATGCATGCATGAGGACTCACACCAGGAGTGACCTCTAACTGCTGACAGGCAGCTCTCCAGCCCCCTGGTAATATTGCTGGTTAATCACCATCCTCTCAACTCTCCCTGGCCTAGGCTTGCCACTAAGAGCCCCTTGGGCAAATGGACACAGGTGCAGATGAGGTCAGCCTGAGGTGGGGTGAGAGTGGACGTGGGGTACAGATGAAGTCAGTCTGAGTTGGGGTGAGAGTAGACACAGGTACAGATGGACCTGTCTGAGGTGGGGTGAGAGTGGACGTGGGGTGCAGATGGGGTGAAAGTGGACATGGGGTACAGATGGGGCCTGAGGTGCGTGAGAGTGGACATGGGGTGCAGATGGGGTGAGAGTGGACATGGGGTACAGATGGGGTGAGAATGGACTTGGGGTGCAGATGGGGCCTGAGGTGGGTGAGAGTGGACGTGGGGTGCAGATGAGGCCTGTCTCGGGGTGAGAGTAGATGTGGGGTGCAGATGGGGTACGAGTGGACGTAGGGTACAGATGGGGCCTGTCAGAGGTGGGTGAGAGTGAGTGGACATGGGTGGTGCAGATGGGACTTGTCAGAGGTGGGTGATGGGACTTACTTCCTCCCTCCCCACCTCCCTTCCAGCCGCCTGTGCTAATTCCATACCACCCTACTTTTCCCATTTCTTCCCGGTGGGGTGCCCCTCTTCCTGGGTCGCTTCCACACTGGTGCCCTCTGTCACTGTCGCCAGCTAGTGTGCCTGTTCCCCTGCACTCTCTGGCACTCACTTGGCCCACTGCTCCCATCCAGGCCCTAGCACCGAGGCTCTCAGTCTTACATTCTGACACAGAGCAGGGGCATCTCCCTGGCTCCCTGGGGCCTGAGCTACCCTCCCCCAGCCTCCCTGTGGACCAGCTGAGGGCTGTGGAGGCTTCTGCTGCCCTGCTGGGCCCAGTATGCCCCCATCCCAAGCACTGAGGTGGCATCTGTGGCTACAGAGTCCTGTCACTGGGCCACCAGTGTCTGTTGGAAGTCACCACACGCTGTCGGCCTCACAGGCTCAAGTACCACCACGCTCAGCCCTGGGTCCCTCCTGAGCCCTCTGGGGCTGGGGTTCGCATGCCTTGACTTCTTCAGTTCATTGACTCAAAGATGAACGTGTGGGTGCAGGTGACACAGGTGAGGGGCCCGTCCCACCCCCAGGGCCTCCCTGCAGACAGGCAAGGGGAGCTTAGAAGACCAGGGTTCTGCTTTGGAAGAAAGTCTGTCTCCACTCACTCTAAAGTCCCCTGTGGTGTAGCATCTTCTTATGGGGTCCTGTGTGGCTTGGTCTTTAGCACCAAGCTCCTTAACAGAGCTGGGGGGCGGGGAAACGGGACGTTAGACAGGGTTCTCTAGAGAGATAAAACCAAATTGCTGATAATTTAATATATTTATTTATAAAGATAATTAGATATATAACAAGAAATGAACTGTTAAATCATATACAGATAAATATATAATACAAGAAATAAACAGATGAATTATAAAGCACTACAAATGGCTCAATGCAACTCACTCCCGTGAGAGAGAGTTGTGAGAGACTAGCAGTCC